CGTGTATACACACATCACGGTTGCTTCTTCTTCTTCTTCTTCTTCTTCTTCTTCTTCTTTTCGCATCTGCGATCAGCGCACCGCACAGCGCACTTCATGTATGCGCCGCAAGTATGCTTCAAACCTTTATGGTTGGGAGACCCGAGTCGGCAGCATTGATTACCTCCAATCTAGAAGGATGTACTTCCCCTCACCCCTGCCTAAGTTATCCTATTGCTACTGACTTGACCTTCCCTGTGCGCGGTTGTCGCTGGCCTTCTGTCTAAACTAAAATACCTCCTGCTCCTCTCAGCTATTTTGCTGTCTTATGCGTGCGAATCCGGAGCGCTGTGTTGCTGGCCTTCACCTCCACTCTCTCTGTGATGTACCTAAGCAAGCTTCAAAAAGGAATAAAAACGAGCAAACAAGAATCCCAGAAGTCACAGGCTCTCAGCAAGGGGGCTGCCCTCTGTCCTTCTGCCCTGATTGCTAAAACCCTAGACCCTCTGAGGGCCGAGTGCAGATGACACCTGCGCTCGCCGGAGTACTTTCACCTCCCGAGCTAAAGGGGACTGCTGTGTACTCTCTTTCTTCTGCCTTGTGGAGGTCGGTCTGACGCCACACTTGCTTGTCCCCCCTATCATGTTCCTGCTGCATTCCTTTCCAGTATCAGCCCTCGATACTAATCGGAGAAAGTGGTTTTCCAGCACTCCAAGCCTCTCCCTGCCGAGGGCGTTTTGTACGAATTTGTTGATGAGGTCTGTCCTGATGTTGGGCTCCTTCTTGATTTGTTGCCTGGCTCAATGCCAGTGCGTGTGATATTCAGTAAGTGGTGCCTGCTTGAGGCCCGACCAGGCCTCCTCAAGGGGGGTATCCTGGGTGTCAATTGTCCCCTTACACTTGCGCTTCCAGATTGACCATAACTTCAAGGGCCGAAGGCTTAAGTCTCCTGTAAAGCGCGAGTAATCCATCATTACATAATAACACATAAAAACTCAAATAAAATACACATAACCAAAGGATTGCGTGAAATAAGTAAATTGATCTAATTGAGGCAATTTTTTTTTCACCTTTTTGTTGTTTTTCTCATGGTTGTTCCGGACCCGGACAACCGGACATCCAGATGTTATGAACATGATTGTCCGTTGAAATTTTGTCAACACTCACTCGTAGGAACTCCCATACAAGCCCATACATGCACAGAAGGAAGGGGAGAGGTAGTGGAGTGTCACACCACCCAACAGAAAGAACGCAGCGGAAGACTCAGATGAGCGAAGTGATAGAACACACAAAACTGTGGATTCTCTCCACACAGGTCCCAACAATCATTCATAGAAGACAACCGAGTGATCACAGCGAGAAATCAATGAAGAGATGACAACTCAAACACTGTATTACAACTGTTTATTAAACTCAGAGCATCGTTTTCCCTGAATAACCTCAGAACCCTGCTGCGCTACCCTCAGAGGGGTAGTGCCTCAACCCCACACACTCTGGACAACTAAAAATAGCACCAGAACCCCAGGTAACACCCAGCACCACCCTGACATCCAACTCAGTGGCCTGCGCCAAGATGAAACAGGCTCCCAGAGCCAATCGCCACTCAGGTGACGAGGAAGAAGCTCAGTGCCAACAGTCCCT